CTTGAACGACCCAAACACCAGATGGTACGGCCAGGTACGCAACGTCACTAGCGCGTTGGACCGACAGAGAGCACCGATATCGCGGCACGCTCTACCGTACTCTCTCGCTCGCACACTTCCCCCCATAGACCACCGAAATTTTTCGGCACGCGTCAACACCGACGGAGAGCACCGATACCGCGGTTCGCTCTATCGCTTTTGCTCGCACGCCGTGACGTCACCCGATTCCCGGAATCCCGCGGGGGGAAAAGGAAGCGCGCAAGGGAAATTGTAAGCCGCCGGCCAAAAGGTAGATTTAATAAATTATTTATGAAACTACATCTATTCTGAATTTATTTGTTACAAATATACAAATGTAAAGCAAGATATAAAAACGAATAAAACAAGAACATGTAAAAAGTAACATTAGTAAAATGTCCATTAACGATGCATTTAGAATAAATTGTCTTGTAGTTAAGTGAAAAAATATATACTTTTCCGTTTCATGTTTCATGACTGTCATATTTATCCCTTAACCTTAAACTGAAGCATCGGATATTTTTATTCTCATGAAATCATATAGATACACGTAATATGAATGGAATATATAACACTGCATTTGTGCTAATAATACTCAGAACTCATGCTTTATCGGTAACGTCGGGTATTGACACTAAAATGGTAACAGGGCTACGTAGCCCTATGAACGTGGGACAGAAAAAAGCATTGGATGATAGGTCTATTCTATACCTAGTCGGTGGTATGAGTTACAGTGACTTCTGTGGTCAAGTGGTGGTGGACCTTTCCCCTACGCTGCTTTTCCCCCAACAGGAGCCGACTTTGCTCGTGGGTATACAACATATGACATAGTTGTGCTACATATTTGGGTTTTTTGTATATTTTATACACAAATAAATGTACTTACAGTTAATCTAGTAAAATAAAACTCATAGCAAACAAAAAGTTTCTAATAAAAGAATCAAAACTTTTGTACTGTAAAAGTTACTAATATTGAATACGCATTCGTAAAAGTTCTGATAAATTACTTCGCTCAATACATATAAGTTTGTAACTAAAATGGTTTATAAATCGCCTGGGAATGTTATTTATTACAACATTCGCCTGTTTGGAAAGTAACTATAAAACATAAACGTTGGACACAATCACATGACTACAGAATTTGATAACGGCAGATAACGGATCATTGTATCCGTTGCCTATTGTGCATAGTGTCGACGTTATCTGTGTTGGTTATAGGGATGTTCCTACCTTACTGACAACGGGTGACATAACCTAACCTATGCACTTGCGTACCGTCATGTATTAATATCTCTACTGCTTTGTAAATAAATGAATACAGCAAGCAAGTTGGTACGAAAAATTCACACTGCGAGTCTTGACACCCCGTTTAAACTCTTCCGCTGTGAAGCTAAGGTAACTGTCATTAATTATTCGATTTTTATTTTGTTTTTATTTACTGTGTGTGATCTTACATTGCGCAACACATTCATATAATTTTGCTCATTTGTGTAATTCTTTAAGTACGTTAAGAATGTTGTACAGAACCAATGTCGGCAAAGGAACTACTTAGTTTCAAATTTAAGATGTTAATTTGATTATTATCAATAGTGGCAATTTCATATTTGATAATGGTTTTGTGAATTTGGGACTGCTATATACTTATGACTTTGTTTTTTTATATAGAGGGTGTTAATTTTAACTCGAGCACCTAAATTATTTCTGCTACTATTTAAAGTAAGAAAAAATTACTAAATAGGATGTACATGGTTTTAAGGTGTGCATCTGATGGTGATAAAATATTTTTTACTTACATTTATTTACTCCTGCATTCTTCAAACTGAAGCTGATTTCTTCGTTTTCAAGGTCACTTCAAGGTCATAGTGTATAGGTCGTTGAACTCATCTTGACGCCACTACCACATCGGGTTATAAAAAGTACATGTTAATGTGCAAAAAAAGTACAACGACCTTGAAAGAACCATTAAAATAACCTTCACAGGATTTGTTTTATCATCATCAGATGCATGCCTCAAAACCATGTACATCCTATTTAGTCATTTTTTCTTATTTTAAATAGTAGTGGAAATAATTTAGGTGCTCAAATTAAAATCAACACCCTGTATATGTATGTATATACGTACTACTTTAAATTTCAGTAGTTCCCAAAATTTCTATCATAATACTATAAATGCTACTCATTACAAATAAATTTTTATTTGCAAATAATGAAAATACATATCATAAATATATTAATGCAAGTAGAATTATAAGTAATATTGGAAGTAATTAAAATATGAAATTTGGTATTAATCTACAACTATTCGAGTATATAATTCATTTTCAAAATTTATAAAAATGCAGTTCAATGAAATTGTATGGATACAATATTCTTAAATTTTGCGTACGATTTTAGAGCTGAGAATCATAATAACAGTGACGTGAACAGTAAAAACTTTCTTCCTTTATATTCAAGTAATTATGTGCCTTAAAAATATTGTGAATTTAGGTTAAATATATTATTAGACAATTATATACTTTAAAAAAGTATTAATTATGTTATGATGGAGACTTCAAGGTATTGTATTATGTAATCAAATAAATAAACATTTATTTTTTCACAATACTATGAATAATTTTACTGTATTAATAATGTATTATGAATGTGTATACAGGGTGTCTCAGCTAACTTGATCACCTTAAATAATGACTTAACAGTACAGTTCTAGAAAATTGTGAGGCATGGAACTTAAATGGTATCAAGGGGCACATCTGATAAGGTACGTGCATTTTTGTGGGTGGAGACATTTCAGAGATTTCAAGGTCACCTTGATTTTCGTTAACGGAATGACTTATTTTTTGTACCATAGATTGATAGAGTATCAAATTTACAGTAAAAATGTGTTGACTTTCATATGTTCTAAACCTAATAGTTAACGAGATATTTACTTAATAATTTATAATACGTACTTACTATCTGGAAGCTATAGGTGCTGGAACTGATGCCCCTCAACTTCAATACAGCAATTTCAATATAGTGATTATTTTGTAAATATCTCGTTAACTATTAGGTTTAGGACATATGAAGGTCAACACACTTTTACTGAGAATTTGATACTCTATCAATCTATGGTACAACAAATAAGCCATTCTGTTAAAGAAAATCAAGGTGACCTTGACATTTCTGAAATGCTTCCACCAACAAAAGAAGCGCGTACTTTATAAGATGTACTCCTTGATGCCATTTAAGTTCCACACCTCAAAATTTTCATAAAGTGTACTGTTAAATCATTATTCGAGGTGATCAAGTTAGCTGAGACACCCTGTATACATTAATGTACTCACAAAGGATATGGTTAAAAGAATGTAAACTTTGAACGATAATATTTTAAACTTTGCTTCTTGGAAGTAATAATTTTGGGGTTATTTAAATTTTTCATTACTTAATAAAATAATAGTTATATGCCCTTTACAATCTTGAGGTTATTGACAAAACGAAATCATTTTTGTACTTCAAAATGGTTGAAATTTTATTTGTTTCACTTGATAAATTGGTTTGTTATTGTAATAACATTGCTTTTGTAACTTTTACATGCAGACAGATTGTTGCTTCTATTGGAATCTGTGCTGTAAATTGTAGCGTGACATACTGATAAATTGGACTATTCTCTTAGTATAATGATAAGATGTATCGAAACATGTGGTCATATCTTCATGTGTAAATTGAATGCACCTAATTGAAGACAATTATGTAAACATTTGTTTGACGTGCTCATATTTCAAGGTTTTGTTTTATTTTAATAATTCTTGTTATCACTGAACTATGGCAATTGTGAATGCATTAAATATGTAATGTTATTTATGGTATGTTTAAATTGTATTAATTGTTATCAACATTTGTGAACATTATAACAGTATTATGAATATTTTTAAGAAATTTCACAAGATATTGTTTAAAAATGTTTTTTCTTTAAATTTATGTGTAGTGAAGTTTATAAGATCCTCTACTTTATTCAGATAATCAAAATACAATTTGTCAAGACCTGTAGATGCAATGATATTATAAAATATATATCTTGTTGTCAGAGAAGACATATAGATTAATTTGGATTTTACAGTAGTAAACATTTAGTTTATTATTTTTATGCATTACATGTAAAAGTTCGTTTTTCTACAGTTTGCCTAAATATTTTATTTATGAAACTTTGCCCTTTATGTGAAATTTTATTTTACTCATTTTTACTTTAATTTTCTTACATACTTATGTAACAAGGATGAGTTGCAGCTGTGGAGCTTTTTGTTTTAATCAGACATTTTATTGTAAATCTGAAACTAAAATTGTTACAGAATTTAATACTGAAGATAAATATAAATTTATAATGAAGATACAGACTTAAAGATCAAGAAAACAAATGATATAGAAAAATGCAGTGTGTATACTCGCTACTACGATTTCTGGGTTTTTAAAAGAAAACTTTATAAAGACAAGATTTATAAAAATTATTTTTCAGAAATGATTATACCATTGAAAAATATTTAGTAAAAATTAATAGACGGTTAATGTTTTTGCGTGTGTAGTATATGTAGATTTATAAAATGCAAGAAAGCTTATTTTTTTTATTCATTAAATAATATATAAAACTAAGAATTAAGCTGAAATTCCTTTTTTTAATTGGATCTTTTATACATGTAGCTAATTATTACAAATAATTATTGTAAGTTATTTCCAATCTTCTGTCCCCTGACTCTATTTTTACAAAATTTCAAATGTCAAATGTGTTGTGCGACAGTAACAAATTACGAGTATATTCATAAATAGGAAAACAAAAAAATCAATTTGAAATATAATAAGTTTTTGGTTGTAGCAACGTTTCTGACATCTTCAAGACTATATTTAAATGTTGGCCAACTTTGGGTGGGCCAATGTTGTATCATCATTGTAAATTTTTTGTTAATTAATCAACTATAATAATTGTAGGCCAAACATTTGATATTCGTTGGCAAATTGTCATAACTTTTTCGTCGTACGCCCTATTTTGAGGATTTGTAGGCAAAAACACCAACTATATTCCAACTAGTTCTCAACTGTTCAATACCGTTGTCCAACTATTAATGCTAATAGGGTACGATCCAAGTATTACCAGTAATTAATGTACGTCGTTGTATGGGTATAGTAGCGACGGATACACGGACATTGACCTGGTTTTCTATTAGAGCGTGTAATGATTTTTGTAAATGTAATCATAATGTTTTACTGATATCTGTAAGTCTAATCTGTAGATTATAAATGAATTTGTGGCGACAATATTCAGTATTCCATAAAATATCTGTTCTAGCATTGACGGCTTTCTTCCATTATAAATGGAACTCTTGCACAGATACAAAGTGATTTCACTACTCTTTTAACTTTTTTTCTCTCTTTTTTTTAATACATCTATTACTGTTGAACGACAAGAATTAATTTTGACTGTTCCTTTCATTTTTTTTTTTTGGTTAAATTTTACAATTAAATCGGTGATTCTTATATTTTTTACTGCAAAATTTGTATTTCGTTATACCTGTTGATTTCAGAGCTTTTATTTTCTTCTAATATATTACGTTCTTTCGTCAGTCTTTTCGCTTTCATGTTAACACATTGTGGTCCATACACGGTATTGAACCGTCGCTCGATTATGTACGCTAATTTTGACCTTACGGTCCACCGACGGCATAGAGCCGTCGCAATGTAAACAGAATGCTACTGATACTCTCACGTATAGTGGGTCAAAAAAGTATTTGCACACCACAATTGTCTAGTAATTTTATATTTACATTTTAATTCGATATTTTTTGTTTCTGATTTAGAACAGTCTAATTGTAAGATATGCCATAAATCCATTCTAGGAGTCACATCTGGGGATTGGGGTGCTATAAGTTGTTTAAGTACGTTAATAATAGCTATATTTTTGTTTTGTTTTGGCAGTGTGCTTGAGATCGTTGTCCTGCTGATAATAATATCTTTCTCCCATGCTTTATTTGATTGCACTTTTGGATAAATTCTTCCGCAACAATTCCATATACCTTCAACAGTCATTGTCTTATCGATAAATGTTTAATGTTACAACACCGTTACATATACACCACGGATCTCCATAGGGTCCCTATAGTGTTTCACTCAATGTACATAAACCAAAAATTCGAAGTGTAAGATAAAAAAAAAAAGACACCATCTTTCTTTTAAAATTATATGATACTTTTTCATCGAAGAAAGCAAATGCTACAGCTTCTGGACATAAAATACCAGAAGTGATTTTTAAATTTATTAATTGCCATGCTAGATATATGGGGATAAATAATATTGAATTACAAATTTTAATTCTGAATTTAGTGCTTCAATAGCGACAGGAGCTCTACACTAGGCTTTTGCGTAAACGTTCA